GCACTGGTTCACCAGGACAGAGTGCCTCTCTCCATCGCTCTGGCTGATTATAACCCTGTAACCGATGAGTGGCGAGATGTGAGTAAATGCATCCCGCACTGTGCACGTGTTCAAAACCACTTTCTGTATATTTGATATGCAAACTGACTTCCTGTGTGTCTTTAGTTTGTTCTGGTGTCTGTAGGTAATGCCGTCATTGCCAGCTCTCCTGCACCCTTCTGTGATGGTATGAGTCATGAAATCCAGGTGACAGTCTCTGGTAACCAGACCCTTCTGCTGGTCGACGGCCATTCTGGACGAAGTGAAGATGCTGAAGTTCCCACTGGCCTCCTGTCACAGTCTACTACATTCATAGGAGGCCTCCCTGGTGAGCACATACACACTTACGCAGAACAGAAAAGTTTTCCATAAAGTTTTTAAAGTACTTCCTACCTCTATTGAAGAGTATCAGCTTCTGTTATTGTCTGCATGACTGCTGGGTTCAGGCTGGAAAACATCCCCGGCAGCTAGAATCTTGCACAGTTCTCAAAGCTGAAAGAACAACATAAGATTTTTTGTAATGCAATAATAAAAAAAAACCCACACAAAACGTCCCACATGACAACAGATGGATGAATGTTTTCACTGACACGTTGAACAAAGTGAATAATGTTATTTGGACACTTCTTGTGATTTCCACCCGCAGATGTTCCTCTGGTGTCCACGCTGGTGTCGACACCCTACAGCGGCTGCATGGAGGTCAGTGTTAACGGACAGCCTCTGGACCTGGACCGGGCCATCCACAAACATAACGACATCCGCTCGCACTCCTGCCCCCTGCTGGACTCCCACCAGTGAACAGCGCTTGAATCTGCCAAAACCGATCCATAAGCAGTTCATTGAGACAAGGGGGTGATGGGAAAATGTTTTTAATTGGAATATGTCACAGTGTGGCTTGAGCCCAAGATCACCCCTTCCCCTCCATCCTCTCCCTCCCTGGCCTTATCCTGTGATGACACTGCTGCCTAGAAGCAGTGGCAGGGATTTTCACAGCAGTCTCAGTGTTATGACCCAGCAAGTTAGTTCTTCTGCCAGTGAGTAACACTCCCTGTACAAAGGGAATAATAGCTGCACAGCATTGCCTGAAAACTGGCTGTGTTTTAAAGCCTCGTAAGCTCACAAGAACACGCAGGGTCTAATCCAAAATCAATGCTACGGGTTTGGTCCGGGGTCAGCCTTCTACACCTGGTATCCTGTGCTTAAACGCAGATCTAACTGGAGGTTTGTAAGCAACGACTAGTCTGTGCTCGTGTTGCTTACATCCAGCTCACTTAAGGTCCACGTTCACAAAGCTTGAATTAATCGAGTGCTAATATAGAATCTCCAATTAAATGAAAATGTAAGAATTAAAAACACAGGGACCAGAAAGACAGTCCTACATCAGCTACTTCACTCAGAGAAAAGGTGTGAACAGGTGCTCAGATCTTCAATGAATAAATCCCATTTGCCCTTAACACCCCCCCCCCCCCCCCCCCCCGCCACAGCGAGGCGGTATGAACTTTGCGTTCTGTAGAAAATATTGCACATCGTTGCAGGTATAAATGGACTGCCTTCTTGAATTTTTTCCCCCCCTGCTCTCGATTGGAGGAGCACTCCATATCTGCCTGCAACTTCGAAAATCAACCGTGTGCCTACAAAAGAACAAACCAACCCACACTTGTCGACAGCTTCCCTCTAAACAGGTGAATCAGTTCCCAAAGGTGCAGCACTGCAACCCAGCAAACTAACCGACGCTTTGCAGTGTGTGCCCCTGAGGATTTTCTCTTTTAAAGAACAGACTCACACTCATGTTCATCACAAAAAGGTCCCTTCTTTTCCCAAAAATCACCCAGTCACAGTTAAAGCCTGCCATATACCAACCCGAGGACAGTAGATTAGACACAGAAGCACAGGGAGACAGAAAGGGGCCTTCTCCACAAGGAAGAGAGAGCACTGCATTGATCGCACCACACAAGCTACTGAGAAAGGAAAAGAGGGCGCTGTAATATACTGAATATGTAAATAATGTGACTGTACAATGCTTTATAGAAGACAGAGCAAACACTACCTTAAAACCCCCCCTTGAGGCACATTTATGGTCCAAAGTTCAAAGAAAGATCAGAGTCTCTCAACTTCATCTGCTTCTTAAAAAAAAGAAAGAAAAAAAAAGGTTTCAGCGACAAATCATGGTGGAACTGGGAGACTGTGAGAGCAATACCCAGGGATCAAAGTAGCATCAAGCTTTAGAGACTCAGTTTTTAATTTGATTTATTGGTGCTCAGCGAATCAAAACACAGTAACAACAAAGAATGTCAGAAGAGCGAATGCCTAAAGGGCTCCAGTGTTATTTTACATCCCTGTGTAAGGTATCATTTTCTAGTTTTCTGATGGATGAATGCCAGAATATAGAGCTTGACTTGTTAATGTCTTATTTTATTTTTTAATCATATGTGATGTATCTTGAACTTCTAGTTTTTATTTTTCACCTTAACTGCCAGTATGTGTATGATGCTGAGAGAAGTCTGCCTTTTTTGAGTTTTAACTTCCCTCAGCAGTGAAAATCCTATTTAAAAAAAAAAAATTTAAAATAAAATAAAAGCAGCTGTATGAAAGTCACTGAGTGAAGTTGTGTTTTGAAAAACAAAAACACATCCGTGCACCTTGTGCTTCTGTTTCCGATGCTCTCGACTGTTGCGGCATAGCTTAAGCTGTGATGGAGCTCAATATTATGCTTTAATACGGAACCTCCGCCTTAGAGGCAGGGTGACCTTGAAAAGAGAAGAGCTAAAACATTCTTTTAGACGGAGGATAACCTGAGGGGCTGCATCAGGGGTCTCAAACCTGTGATTCTAGAGCCACATGTGATTGTTTTGCCCTACTTTACAGTGGCTTTGCCATTGGACTATTTTTAAAGTTGTTAAACTGCTGTATGTTTCAGTTACTGTCAAAGTAGGCTGCTTTTAATGTAATTAATTTTCTCCCAGAGACCATTTGCAGTATAGTAAATGGATTGGTGCTTATATATAATGTACTAACAAGTGAACGCAGTGGAAGTAGTACTTTAAAGGAGCTCATGAATGAAGAAAAGAGTGGATGGATGGAGGTTAGTGAATCAGAAAGTGCAGATGATTAGTGAGGATGAAGGCAGGGCACCTATGAAGAGTGGAAGATGGTCCAGATGACATACCTGTGGAGGTAATGAAGATGTGTAGAGGGCAGTGGACTTTTTGATCACTGAATTATGTGAGGCCTGCTATGATGTCTGGTTTGTAGACAGTGACACTGGGGGAAAAAAGAGGAGGTGGAGGTAACAGAGCTGAAGATGTAAAGGTTTTGATTGAAATGACCAGGAGGGACAGGAGTAGAAATGAGAAGACATGGTTATAATCGACAAGGGAGCTACCAGGCATGAGGAAAAGAGGAAGGAATAATACAAATAAAGGGACACTTTTGTCTGTGCTTTCAAACATTCGCAACTGAGGTTTAGTATCTTACCCATGGATACTTTGGCATGCAGACTGGAGTAGCCTGAGATCAATCCATGATCTCCTGATTGGAAGACAACCTGCTTTATCACATGAACATTCACCTGTAGCTAGTCTACTTCAAAGTAATCTTAAACATCTCTTTCAATTCTCCTGTTTGTAAGAAAAATAGGTTTGGTGTTTTGTTTTTTTTTGTTTTTTTTTAATATCATGTGATAAATTAAACAAAAACAACTAACTGCAGCCCACTACAAAATAGTCACTTGTGTTAAAATCTTTTAGTATTTTATACCTGGAAGAAACACTGATGCCTAACAGGCTGTGTCAGCTTTATTAGAGAGTTCCAATATAGTTTGTGGCTCCATTCAGAATCCACTCAGAAATTTATATTTGGGCCTCGAATATTAAAAACATGGGTTATTATGGCTAAACTACCTAAAGTGGAGCTGGGAATGACCACAGTAGGTTCACTCTACAGTTTAATAACAGCAGTCACTACAAGCAAATATATCACTGAAAAAAGCAGAACTACAGCGCAGCACACTGGGTTATGCAGAGCTGTGCTTTATTGCTTATGAATGTAACAAGATGATGAGACTATGAAGTTACACGGTCTGCCTTTGAGGTGAAAAAAACCTAACAGAAGCACTGAAAAAAAGTTCAACATTTTGGAAAAAATAAACTTATTTGCTTTTCCGATGAGTGAAGGCCAAAACAGGAAAACCTGAAACCCGTTTGCCTGGATTTGTTTGAAAAGTGGAGGACAGACATTACACAAAGTCTTTGAAGACCCGTTTTCAGACTCTCTGCCTCGGATATTACAGCAAATAAACGTATTTTTGTCAGTGTTGAACTCCTTCAAAGGTGAAGTTTTTTTCAATATAAAGCCCTTACTATGCATTTTTTACAGGTCCAGCAGTCCCATGCATCGATCACTAACTCAGAGGTCATATCGACTGTAAAGTGCACATTAAATGAATCACACAAACATAATTAAATAACAGCTACATGAACATAATTTACTCTCAGGAAAGCCCTTTGAACTGTACAGTATAATGAGACGATACACAGGACGACTTGCAACTTAGAACAGAAACCAGACCACAGTCAGTATTTAAACTCAGTTTGAAGCCCTCCAAAGGCCAGTCTTAGGCTTAAAAGAATCTTTGACATCTTGAGAAATTTTGCTTATTCACTTTCACTTCACAATTTTTGTCTTTTTTAAGAGAAAACTTGTTAATAATCGAGCAGATTCAGAGGTGCTGGTACTTTTCCCTCATTTCTGGTCTTTTTGCTGCCGTGCAGAGCTTCAGAGCTGTGTGGTACTGAGTGAATAAGCAAGTTTCCTTTGATGGCTACATATTAAAAGGACTCATGTCTACATATTAAACACTACATAACCATAAATCTCTGTCTGACTTCACTTGAAACCTATTAGACACACGTGAAACGCAGCATTTAAATCATTGAAATCTCTGTCTCTGAAATGTTTTGTGCTACAGTCAGTCTGACCAGGTGAAGGTGTTTGCAGCACGCTCTCCATATTTGTCTAAAGTCTCAGCAGGCGTAAGGTGGAGGTTTCTCAAAGGCGCTGTAGGAGGATGCATAGAGCACCGGAGCGTTGGGGGTCAGCATGTAGCCTCCTGGGTCCTGGGTGGCTCCCTGAGGCTGTGGCTGGGGGAGAACCTGAGAGGGCAGCTGGCTCTGGTTCTCCTCAGACGGGCAGGAAGAGGGGGAGGAGACAGGGCCTCCCCCAGGAGGGAGCATCTGGGGAGTAGCAGGTGCCTGGTGGTTGGTGTTATGCTGTGGGAGAGGAGGAGAAACAGAAAGTGGTTGGCTGCAAAGGCATGTGGAAGTTCAGCCAAAGAGATATCAAATATCAGCAAAGATCAGTCCTGAGCCATCGATCAGAAATACGTAACCAGTGCAAAACATCTGCTGCGACTCTGTTATGAGCTACAGCTGTGCTTTCAGCTCATGTGTAACAGGCATTAGTTCACTTCCATCACCAGCTGTTTTGATACTAGAGTGCTAGTAGGCAGGAATGTACACTCAGTAGCGAGTGCATCTCCCTGTATTTCACTCTTAGTTTTGGCCTCAGCTCCTACCTGCATGGATACTGGGTAGTTGGGGTAGGCGGGCAGAGCCTGCCCAGACGGACAGAAGTTGGGGTAGGTGAGCATGTGCTGGGTCGGGTTGTACAGGATGTGAGGTGCTGGCGTTGGGCTGGGAGCGATCTGAGGAGCAGGCTTCTGCTGGAGGAAAGGGTAAAACATGCTTTATGTAAAGAGATCACTAAAAACAAGCTGCTGTTAAAATAACCGGTTAACACACATTTACACAGATGCAGGAACACATCAGGAAGTTTAAACTGCTCAAAGTTGATGCGTTTATTTAACCAAATAAGCATGTAGCCAATCATAGCATGTGACTGCTTCTAAACTCTCTGAATTCAAAGTTTTGGGTTTCTGTTTTTTTTGGGAGGGAGTGGGGGCAGAGTGAGTTAAATCCTCTTGGACTCCTCACCACGATATCCTTGTACGCGCCGAGGATGGCGGCGGTGATGATGCCCAGGAACAAGCCGATCACGTTGAGCACCACCGAGGTCCACATCAGGCGGTACAGCTGGACCACATCCCAGCAGCCGCTGACCCCGGTGAACTCGTAGTAGTGTGAGGAGTACAGGCTGGAAGATAAGGACAAGTTGTGACATGGCAGGAAAATCGCAGGTGTAACTTATTTAAGTTCTGCTTTATGGCTCTTATTGTAGTTTCCATTTCACATCCCAGACTGTTTTATCCCAAACCTTCCAGGATGGCAAGAAAACAAAGAGTCTCCTACACCATCCATCACTTTTTCTTGCTTTATTATTTCCAGACAGCCTTTTATCGGCTTATGACTGAGTGGTAACGCGGTCAAAGGCACAGGGAGAATGTTTTGAAAGCGCTTTCTCTTGTGTGTGCGTGTGCGTGTGCGTGTGTGTGTGTGTGTGTGTGTTAGGCTAAAATATCCAAGATTTAAGAGCTGGCTGTCATACAAGAAAGAGCTGAAATTTCCAGGGTTTCTCTGAGCTCTTTCTCATGTCTGGGATGCTATTTTCCTGCTGCTCTCTGGCCTCTATGTTATTATTAGAAGACTATAAGCTCATAACTGGAAAACAGAAAAAAAAGTGGTTGGCCGGTATTCTAACATGGCCTGCAGAAAAGCTCCTCTGAAACTAAACTGGAGAGAAATGGTTAATTAACACAAACCTGTGTTGTGTTATGGCCTGCAGACCTGCAGTTTGAGTTTGTCTCACCTCTCGCAGTTATACAGGTAGCAACAGTAGCAGGTGTTGCTCCTCACTTTCAGCTTGCATGACTTCTCAAAAGAGTGGCACATCACCTGCAGCTCCAGAGAGTGGATAAATTAGAGAGAGATGGGTTAGATGCAGATGCAGAAACCAGATAAACAAGAACTGCATGGACCAATAACCAAACACACACACACACACACACACACACAAAGTTGTCAACATATTGCTTCCACAGCATCTACGTTCTTTTTATTTGATTTGCAGAGGGAGACGGAAAGCTGTTGCTTTCAGTGAGCCAGTAAATCTGTGTAGTAACATCATTTGACCACTAGGTGTCACAGCACCCTTTGCAAAAGTTTAAACTGAGCATTAAAAGGTTTGTCAGAGCACACAATCAGTACTGTGGTATATTCTTTAAAGCAGAGGTGTCAAACATAAGGCTGGGGGGCTCAGAACAGGCCCAGCAAAGACTTTAATCTGGTCACTATTGGAAAATGTGAAAGTAGGCGTACATTTTTAATTGTATTTTTATAAGTTTGTCCTACTGAGGAAGACCTCCCCCACTTCCATTCATACTACACCAAAGTCATGTAGTAATAGATAAACATTTGAATTACAGATAAATGCTGTTTTTTCACTATCTGCTATAGGAATTTCACCACGTGTACACAGTAAAGTAAATAAAAAAATCAAGTAAATAAGAGCTATGAAAACATTTTTTACACATTTATTTGTGTTTTTTAAGCTCAGAGAGCTGTGCTGGGAGATTTCCTTCATTGCCTACAGCAGCGTTTATTTCTCATGTAGAAAAACTGAGGCGCACTCTTGAGATGACACTTTATTAAATGTGTATTTAAACTTCTTCACACTGACAGAAAGAGGGGCACAGGGTTTACACATATATCAGAATCACCTCAGTGTAGTAGCTGTCGTAGGCGTAGCCAGATCCACTGGGGTGAAAGTCACACATGCCCTTCTGCATACGCGTAATGTCCTGAAAAAGAGAGCCGTTACACATCCATCCTGATCACATCCTCCGCAACCCTGCTGCAGCGCACCGTCCGGTCTACCCGGTGCACAAAACCCACCTCGTTCAATAAAACCCTTACTGAACTTTATGCAACGTGAAGGCTAATAAAATCATTCTTACTGTCCAGAGCTTGACTGTGCAATAAATGTGACTTTTACAGTCATGAGATCACAAAATGAATATATCTGCAGAGGTCTGATAAGCACCCGGGGATCGATAACGGGGACGGGGTCCAGCTTTGAAACTCTCATTAGGAAGTAGAGGCTCCTTACACAAATAACTGCGAGAAATACTTTATAAAAGGGGATAATTCCCCTGTAAATGAATGGAATTTAAATGTGTTTTATTTGAAATCAAAATGTAATTAGGATGATCACAGTTGGTGAGGAAGAACATTTCTATTTAATGTAATTCTATGTAGTTACTTCTTTGTTTCCTATAAAAACCTGACTGGTTACTCTGTTGTTCTAGTGTTTCTACCTTTAAACAGGTGTAGGCAAATATAATTACAATGTAATTTCAAATAAAATACATTGAAATTACACCTTTAGTTGTGAAGTGTTACCAAAATGCACACAAGCTAAACTCTACACTCTGATTTAACCTGTGAGAGTGTTTGGTGATCACATCCCAGCTGATTTATTGTTGTCATCAAAGTTTCTGTGACACAAAGAATTTAATCAGGCCTGGTATCCTGAAAGTTTGACAGCTTTTCATGTCGCACAGCAGCTCGCTGCAGGGTGAGATTAGTTGGTCTACCTTGCACCCACACGTTTCTTGATCTGACCTTTTGATCTCAGCATGTGTGGTTAAACCCCGTCTGTGAGGATGCCTGCTTGAGTTTATGTCAAATAGAAGTGATACTTACAATAAAGTCTGAAGCAATTATCCCATCGACGATGGCACAGAAGCAGGCAACGATGACTCCGACACTGATGAAGATTATCGAGGACACCAGCTTAAAGAGAAGCGAAGGGAGGAAAGCACAGAGGAGAGTCACGAGACACGATTTAGTAAAACAGAAATAAGAAGTAAGTCAAAAACAAAACTATCAGAGCAGGTGCAGCTTGTGTTTTTGTGTTATTTGCATGCATGTATATCTAAATAAAAGCAAAAACAAGATTTTATAAACTCAACACACAGACACACACACATATTTAAGCTTGGCATGTCTGCTGATTGACTGCAGGGCAATAAAGGCAATGTAGAGACTCTCGCTCTGCCAGCACAGAGGAGCTTTGTGGCTGATTTACAGGCGAAGAAGCAACACGCAGGACAGAGCAAGGTCAGTCCAATTCTCCCACACACGCAGACACACACGCATATTCGTCTTCACATCTTTGTGAGGACATCAAATTGACATAATGCTTCCCCTAATTAACCATCAGAAAACAAAGCCGAATCCTAAACTCAAATTTGTACTTCTCAGACAAACTGAACAATGCAGCGCACACGTGGGTCTCCTATAAGGCTTCTTCTGTTAGATAAAATCATTTTCTAATATCACACACGCACACAGCCCAGCAGACCCAGCTGGCTGATCACAGATGTCTGATCATAAACTTTATCATCGAGCATTGGTTACTGTCTGTTCAATCGCTCCTCCAGGACTGAACCTCCTGCACAGAAACACAGTTTCTCTCTCTCTCTGGTAGTTGTAGTTTGAGACCAAAAAGCAAGAAAAAAATAAAAATATTTTTGTAGCTTATTATAATCTGGCATCAGTGGCTTACTGTTTTACAGAGGGCAACAAGTACAGACATAGATGGAAAAACAGTATATAAATGAATATAAAATATAGTTTGTGCAGTTCTAACAAGCTGGAAGTTGTTATGATCGCCGTCTTTTGTCTTCCAATTGTTCAGTTTTTGGTTAGTCGCACTTTAGAAGTCATCTTGTTGGCACAAAAATACTATTTATGCCTGTGAACATTTTTTTATAGATTCAGTTTAAGGAAATCAGAACAAACTGTGTGTTTTTATGACAGGCTGCTAGTAAAAACATGTCTAAAGACTATGTAAAAGGGGATCTTTGCTAGCTTGTCTGTTAGTTTGAAAAAGATTGAATTTGCATTTAGAAAATGACAGAAGAAAATGGAAACAGTTGGTGGGGGGACCACTTCTATAAAAACGGCCATTTCTTTGTTCACCCAGTTCAGGGTGAACACGCTAGCGTTAGCTTTAAAGCTGCTGAGACAACATTCATTGGGATGAACGTGCAAGCTGATCCAGAGGTTAGCTGATCACAATCGCAGCAGATTTATGAACTGAAAACTGAGGCTGGATCTAAATGAAGGAATCGTTAGAGGAGGAACCTTTCACAACCACAGAAACAAGTATGGGGTCTGTAACTTGGACCCTGTAGATCGTGATGGTCACAACAATCAGCTCCAGGTATTAAAACAGGATGTTGTTTTGTGTTCTTTCTTTTCCATAAATCATCAAACTCTTTTAGCAAAACAGGTTTGCGGATGATTACACTGTCCCGTTTATTTGGGGAAAAATGGATACGAAGGCATATTAATTCTGAGCTTTTCCTGAGCAAAGTGAAATAAGAGGCAGGCTGAGAATATAAGCTTTTCTGGGTGGGTTTTATCTGCCACTGGTCCAGACTCTCTGCTTCATTAGCGGTTTAAATGGCTCCGCTTTTATGGGCTGCAAGTGGGAGATGAGGCCAACGGCAGAGACAATAGAGCCTGACAACTGCATTACTTCACATTACCTTAGCACCAGCTGCCAGCGCATAAAATATCCATGCCACCCAAACCTCCCCTGATACTGAAAAATCAAATAGTGTAAAAGATTAAAGACACGCGGCATACTGTAGATGGTTTTCTACTCTCAGGAGCCGCTTTGGGGAAGAAACATTAAAAAGATGGGAAAGTAATTCAGTCGAATCCTTTTACTGACATGCAACTGTAAAGTATGAAGTAATTTACTTCATTACCGTATCTCTGAATTTAATCTGCTACATTTTAAAGCAGTTTTTTTTTAATTCTACATGAAAACAGTCAAAGGCGCGTCAAGCACCTCTGTAAGATTTATTCTGATAGTGCTCAGAACGTTGAGCCTTTTCTCTAATCCTCGTTCATTTACACAATGTTTGGGAAGAGCTGATCTACAGCGAGTGCAGAATTATTAGGCAAGTTGTATTTTTGAGGAATAATGTTATTATTGAACAACAACCATGTTCTCAATGAACCCAAAAAACTCATTAATATCAAAGCTGAATGTTTTTGGAAGTAGTTTTTAGTTTGTTTTTAGTTTTAGCTATTTTAGGGGGATATCTGTGTGTGCAGGTGACTATTACTGTGCATAATTATTAGGCAACTTAACAAAAAACAAATATATACCCATTTCAATTATTTATTTTTACCAGTGAAACCAATATAACATCTCCACATTCACAAATATACATTTCTGACATTCAAAAACAAAACAAAAACAAATCAGCGACCAATATAGCCACCTTTCTTTGCAAGGACACTCAAAAGCCTGCCATCCATGGATTCTGTCAGTGTTTTGATCTGTTCACCATCAACATTGCGTGCAGCAGCAACCACAGCCTCCCAGACACTGTTCAGAGAGGTGTACTGTTTTCCCTCCTTGTAAATCTCACATTTGATGATGGACCACAGGTTCTCAATGGGGTTCAGATCAGGTGAACAAGGAGGCCATGTCATTAGTTTCTCTTCTTTTATACCCTTTCTTGCCAGCCACGCTGTGGAGTACTTGGACGCGTGTGATGGAGCATTGTCCTGCATGAAAATCATGTTTTTCTTGAAGGATGCAGACTTCTTCCTGTACCACTGCTTGAAGAAGGTGTCTTCCAGAAACTGGCAGTAGGACTGGGAGTTGAGCTTGACTCCATCCTCAACCCGAAAAGGCCCCACAAGCTCATCTTTGATGATACCAGCCCAAACCAGTACTCCACCTCCACCTTGCTGGCGTCTGAGTCGGACTGGAGCTCTCTGCCCTTTACCAATCCAGCCACGGGCCCATCCATCTGGCCCATCAAGACTCACTCTCATTTCATCAGTCCATAAAACCTTAGAAAAACCAGTCTCGAGATATTTCTTGGCCCAGTCTTGACGTTTCAGCTTGTGTGTCTTGTTCAGTGGTGGTCGTCTTTCAGCCTTTCTTACCTTGGCCATGTCTCTGAGTATTGCACACCTTGTGCTTTTGGGCACTCCAGTGATGTTGCAGCTCTGAAATATGACCAAACTGGTGGCAAGTGGCATCCTGGCAGCTGCACGCTTGACTTTTCTCAGTTCATGGGCAGTTATTTTGCGCCTTGGTTTTTCCACACGCTTCTTGCGACCCTGTTGACTATTTTGAATGAAACGCTTGATTGTTCGATGATCACGCTTCAGAAGCTTTGCAATTTTGAGACTGCTGCATCCCTCTGCAAGATATCTCACTATTTTTGACTTTTCTGAGCCTGTCAAGTCCTTCTTTTGACCCATTTTGCCAAAGGAAAGGACGTCGCCTAATAATTATGCACACCTGATATAGGGTGTTGATGCCATTAGACCACACCCCTTCTCATTACAGAGATGCACATCACCTAATATGCTTAATTGGTAGTAGGCTTTAGAGCCTATACAGCTTGGAGTAAGACAACATGCATGAAGAGGATGATGTGGACAAAATACTCATTTGCCTAATAATTCTGCACTCCCTGTACATTATCAACAGTACAGTTACTCTATAGAGTGAATACACTACCTGCCCAATCTCCGGTTCCACACCTTCTTTCACCTGATGGACATCAGTTATTTTTTCATTCATTCATTGCATAGCCACACACACACACACACACACACACACACACACACACACACACACACACACAAAACTATGGTTTGTTACATCGAATGTGCATGGAGCTGGCTCCAGACGAGGATGCCTAGATTACTTGTTTTTGGGGGCAATCAACTTGGTCAGTCTGGACTATTTGAAGAAATGAACAGGCTCAGTACAGCTGGAACTAAACCCAGTTAAATATTTAGCTATTGTTTATTCTAAGCTCACAGATTTACCTAAATTAAACCACATCCCACTTTTAAAGAAAGTCAAATACGATCTAGCTAGATGGAAGTCACTACCCATATCACTCATGGGAAGGGTCGTTTCAATAAAAATAATGGTTTTGCCAAGAATCAGTCATTTATCCTCAATGATCCAGAGTAAACCTTCACCCTTTGGAAAGATGAAGCCCCATGTATTAGCTTAAAAACAATACAGAAGACCAAGGATAGAGGAGGACAAGGTCTGCCTAACTTTCACCACTTCATCTTAGCCAACAGGCTACAATACATCTCAGGACAGCATCATTGACAGCATGGTGGGAGTTTTAAAAAAAATGACTGAGTCTTTAAATGACTAGAAATCCCAGTCTCCAATTAATACAATACAAAATCACGAACAGAGTGCACTACACAGGTCGATGGATGTTCATGATGGGTTTTATGTCATCTAACACCTGCTCACGCTGTCAAGGGAAAACACCTGACAATTACATCCGTGCTCTTTGGTTCCGTCCACCTGTTCATGTTTTGGTGCTGGATATGTGAAACCCATCAAAGTGCTCCAGCCTCCCCTTCAGTTTGCTTTTCTGGCGACTTAGATGATGTCATTATGGAGATGAACACAGTCTGCCTTATGCATTTCTAAGAAGACCTCATGAACTGGAAAAATAAAAATAATCTTAGCATTAACCAATATAGAGGGGGTAAGGGCTTGGGGCGTCTGGAGGTTTGCTAGGTGTAGGTCCCCTCCATGCCTTCCTCCGGTCCTGGAGGGCGGGGCTGTGGCTTCCCACACCCACTGTTAGACACTTACATGGAGAAACCTCATGAACACAAGTGCTAACGTATACCGGTACCCAGACACACACTATCTTGGGCTGCTGCTGCCTCTAAAAATATCTTGTATTATTAGTACTGTGTGCTTCTCA